GTAAATTTAATAAAGGAACCCATTTAAAGCAAAATTAATGGCTTAGTGAGTTTGAGTTGCTTATACTAGAAGCCTTTTCTATTTTTATGGGCATTTACGGGACTGTCTTGTGAACTGTACATTCATATTTCATTTTCATTTCGATAGTAAAATGCGAATAGTGTGCACTATTACAATGCTTATCGCATTTTTGACCGTAATGAAATACAGTCAGACCTCTCTAAGTGCACGCCCTTGGGACCACACTTTAATAATGTGCATTTAGAGAATAATAAGAAAAGTGCATTTATAGAGGTCAAGTATATATTTGGGCCAGCACTTAAGCGTGCATTTAGAGAGGGTGTGCACTTATAGAGGGTGCATTTAGTGTAGGGTGTGTGGCACAAAGGTCACGGGCATGCCTCAAAAGAAAATAGATATAAGGCATGCCACTTATATATAATCAATATACACGTATGTCTATTTTTGGAAAATTTCGGAATAATGGATAGTTGATGGACATAAAATACGGGCAAGGTTTCCGGCAAATTTCGGGATTTGTGAATCATCTGGGGTTTGGATGGGTTGATATGATGGCGCGCCATTGGGATACCAGGGTGGCATCCTGGCATGAAACTTGTCAGGTGGCATGCCTTATGGCATGGCATGCCAAATTTTTTTGCCGTGCCACACTCCCTAATTTAGAGTATTACCTTTATTTGTGTCCTTACCCACAGTTTTGATGCTAAATTCTAGATACTGATTTTGACTACGAACCATCAAACAATTTAGTAATGTTATCACAATTTGGCAATAATTTAGCATCAAGTTGAATAAAATAATTTCTATGATTCTAATAAAATTTTTTTATTTTTAAAAAAAAAGAGCTAATTTATATCTGTCAACTCTTAAAAGGGATCCTTAAGCGAAGCAAATCACATGAAATAACGTTATTTCATTAACATTAGGGTTAGATGCGTTCATATAGATGAAAATTCCTCCAATATTGTTTATTAAAGCCTAAGGTGTTCATACTGCCTTTTTTTTATCAAAAATCACGATTTGATTGGTTGATTACCACATGGTCTGCTTCGATTTAAGGCATTCCCTTAAAGAAATTTTAATTAGTATTTTCAAGTGTTGAGTTAGTATCATGTTAATCATCGTCTCATTATGATTGTATTATGGGGTTTTATATAGAAGTCTGATCCAATAAATGATATACGGATATTCGGTGAATATCTGAATACACTTTGCAAATGATCTATCATTTTTGGGTATCTGTTAAAAATTTTAATTTAATAATTATAAAAGAGATCTCAGGAATGATCCAACTATTGACGATATTCAAGGTCAATTCGAATTATACAGATCTCTAGAATTCGAAAATTTGCTTTAATACTGAAATTGGATGAAATTAGTCAGGTTATTCCCAAGATATCTTTTAAATTTTTAAAATATTTAAGCAATTATTATTATAACTGAATTTTGCCGCGCAAATAAATATGCATAACATGTGGTGATGTTCGTTGTAAATGAAGCTAGTCTTGCTGCAAATGAAATTCATGTGAATAATGCCATTATCATAACATATCACACATCATTGGAGACTTTATTATGACAGTATGTTACAAATGAAAATCATTAATGTTAACTAAAAGTGATATTTTGATAGGATTTTCTGAATATCTGATAAGTTATACTAATTTTAGCGGATAAGCTTTCCGCTATCTGTTATATGTGATTGACGCCAAGGAAAAATGGGACTTCAATCATATAAGTTATATGATTAAAGTCCTATTTTTATCTAATACTAAAAAATATAATTCAATATTTTGAGATTTTATTGTATATGAAGATTACAGAAACTAGTAAATATGCACTCTTCCATATTTTGTATATTACAAGTGTAAACTAAGTTTTCATTTAATATCCAGAAAAAGTTTAAGGAAATTTTGAAATGATGTAATTTGTAAAATTTTACAACTGACAACGAATTAGTGCATGGTCGGATTTACCAGATACGGATAATGGATAAGCAACAAGCTAATGAATATAGATAAGCAGATGGACTATCTGGATCCATGCGTTAGTTTCATGAAATGACGATTCCATTCGTAGATTAGTACGTATTTCGTTTAGCCATTAAAGTATTGCATTGTAATTCGTTAGTTTTAATATTTAATGAAATTTTTTTAATGTGATGATTAAGCACAACAATGATACAAATTTTTTTATTTGATTAATAAAACTAGGGTTGTTGATGGAGTGGAGTGGGTTGGGTTAAAATTAGATGAAGCAGATCTTACTTTAACCCAACCCGGGTTATATTTAAATTAACATTCCGGGTAGTGCTCCAGGTTAATGCTCCAGGCTACGTATTAAATTTGCTCCAGACCACTCCATATGGAACAATCCAGGTTTTGCTCCAGGTCACTCCGTGTGAGTGCCGCCAAGGGAAACTTGTCATCAAGCTTTCAATTATATTTTGTACCGGACACAACCTATTTAATTTATTAGGGATCATACAAAAAAATAACTGAAAACGCGATGACAGGTTTCCCTTGGCGGCACTCATATTGAGCAATCCGGGTTTTGCTCCAGGTTACTCAATATGGAGCAACCCGGGGTTTGCTCCAGGTCATTCCATATGGAACAACTCAGGTTTTGCTCCAGTCACTCTATATGGAGCAACCCGGGTTATAAGAAATAACTTTGCTCCGGGTTATTATATAATTCTTAAAACCCCAACCCACTCCAGGAGTATGTTGCTCCATTAACAACCCTAAATAAACCTATAGCATATAATTATACAATATTATAAATGTGGAAATATTAGATTTACCTTATATCGACAAATACGTTAGTCAATTCAGCAATTCTAGATTAATTATTCAACTAAATATAATATTACATAAATTACATTAGATTACCAAAGATGGGAAGTGCGCGTGAAGTGCATTTATGGAGTCATATGTTATTATTGATTCTATTATCGCTGATTTTCGTTATCTTAAATATAAGTTAGCTACGATAATACACTTCGCTGACAAAAGTCACCGGCTTGAAGATCTTTTTTATAATAAAACAGTAAATAAAGAATGAATTTAAGTACAAATAGCCGGTGGTAATTATCACCGCCCTTATTTTTAAGGTTAGGATGCACCTATAGGTTAAGGTTAGGGTTAAGTATTTTAGTTTAAATTTTTAGTTAGGGTAAGTAGTGATGGGATGAATTAAATAAACTACCAATGGATTTAATAAAAGTTTAGTCCGTCAATATCTCAGCAATTTTTGAGAAAATATTGACGCAACTTTTCGTTTTTTATACGTCCTGTACTAATTAGCTGCGCCATATATTATTAAGTCGTTATTAGTTAATAATTTGATCAACTAATTAATAATCATCATTGATTATTAATTAGTTCAGGATATTCTATCACTAAGGGTAAGGTTTTCGGGAGTTCTGAACATTTTTACTTAGAATCTCCGACTCTACTTAGTACGTTTTTGTGATATAGCACTCCGGTGATGATCACCACCGGTTATAGTTACTAAAATACATAAAGAACAGTAAATCTTTATTATATTTAATAATTTTTTATATGATTTTGATTATTAAAACCTTATCAGTTATAGTTTCGATATAATACTTTTTGAAAATTTTTAAAGGCTTCAATCTAATCAAGAAATAGCCTTTTTTTAATTTTTATAATTAAAATTGAGAAAGCAATCGAATCGAAGCCTTCAGAAAAAAATTTAAAAAGTATTTTATCGAAACTATAACTGACAAAGTTCCGTTTAATACCATTTTAAGGTGTTCATATGTTAGTATATACTGTACATGCTTAAAAGAACAACATGTCGATACGCACGTACGCACGTACGTACGCGATATATTTAATTTCAATTTTGGATTTCCTATAAAGTGATGTTACACGTGCGTACGTACACCCCCTGATCTTTCTATAATAAAACATAAATAAATGTGAGGGACGCGTATGTCGAATAAGATTACAACGTCAAATGTTATTAAATAAAGCACATAGAAAATCCGTGACAGGTTACATTAATCGACCTCCGAATTACGGTGATCATTAAAAAATATTATATCAAATTTGTATATTAAATAATTATTAATAAAAAATAACTTTTAAAAATTTCATATCGAAATGAAGATTTGCAACCCTTTATTGAATATAAATAATATTTATTTACATGTAGTACATATTATTTATAGTAAAAATAAATTGAAACCGAAGACTTAATATTGAAACATTTATAGAAAATCAACTAAAACTGTGTTAGAAAATTATATACCGTATATTACCGAATAGAAGCTACCCCCGAATAGAAGCTACCCCTCGATTTTGGATCCAAAAATCTGAAAACGGTTACTATGTTTTAATAGTAAAATTAGACCCGAATAGAAGCTACCCCTGCAGTTTAGCCTAAGAAAATCGAAGAAAATCGAAAATTTTTTGGTAGCTTCTATTCGGTAATATACGGTACTTAATTTTACAAATAAAAATTTGTCATTTCTTTCAAACTTAAATATACTGTACATATTTTTTTATTAGATTATTATACGTTAAATATTATCGTTATTAATATCTGTAATCTGGATATAGGGTTTGATTGACGTAACTTGTCCTAGATTTTCTACACGCTTAAATAAAAAAAAGAGGTAAATTTAAAGTCTACAATAATACTCGATTTAGCTAATTTTTTTTCATAATGAACTTCTGAATAGAGCATAGTAAATAGAAATTTCTAGTTTCTAGATTCTCAAGATCATGCACATCATGTATAACAATTCTATAAACTTTATTTCTTTTCAATTCATGGCTGAAGATTCATTGATGCAAATGTTTTAAGGTCATGTGTTACAATAAAAATTCCTGAAACGTTAATGTTTCTAAAAAAAAAATCAAAAAAATACATAAATTTTTACACAATGTAGATAATTATAACTTTTTCTTGAAAACTTTTTTGCTTTTTAAATATCGATATTATGAAAAATGATATATTTAGTTAAAAATAATCTCGTAATTTTTACGCTTCTTATCGTATGTGTTCCTTTGGTGTTTTCTGGTAAATTTTTTAAATATGATTATTAATATGTGCGTTAATACGATCTGTTAGGTGGGGTGGCGTATTTGCTTACGTATTTTTTGACAACTAAACATTCTTTTAATCAGATGTAAATATCGAGACTCCTACTGGATTGATTTTTACTGGAAGTTTAATTACAATCAGTTGGAGCATTTATGATAAACCACCGACACAACCTGCTTCGTTAACAATTCAAAACAGTCAAACAGGCGAATTTACAATAATTGATGATAAATTAAATCTTCAAACCTTAATCAAAACATGGGATGTTTCAGTAACTGAGGGTATTTATTTTTTATCAATAAGAGATGGTAACAGCGAAGTACATTCTGGCGATTTTACCGTTTTTACTGCTCAAGGTAATCAAACTATTATCAATATTATTTATTTATTTATTTATTATTTTTATTTATTTATATATTTTTACACCAACTTTTGTCTAATACTGAAATAAATTATATCTCTATTCTAATGTTTACAGTAATTCCTAAACCAACCTCAGACTATAAAGTCACGACCATCATTGCGGTTATTTCAGTTGGAAGCGCTGTGATTTTGATTATAGTGCTTGTTGGAATTTGGTATATTAAGTGGAGGCATAAAAAAGAACGTGAAATTTATGAAAGCGATATTCCATATTCTGAAAAAAAAAATGACGATGAACTTGTTTTATCAACCGATGAAAAAAAATATGGGTTTGTTTTCACATAATTTATGCCAATGACAATTTAAAACTTTTCAATTTTGATATAAAATAATTAATTCTAAAATTTCATATATTCTTCGTTAATTCTACTTTCATGTAACATAAATTACTATAAATTAATTTTACCAAACCTTACAAATTGGTTATTAATATAATATCTGCTGGTCAGAAATTCTTCATTAATATAAAATTATTTATTAAAATAATAATAATATGTACTTTAGTATTTAATTTTTATAAAAAAAAAAGCCTGATTCGCAAAACTTAATAAATTTATTATGGCGGGGATCTATAACAAAGATTCCTGGTTCTATTTATACATACCCAGATACAGGAAGAAATTTACGAATTGATTTTTATTTTTATTTGTATTTTTTAGTGGTACCGGGCCGATGAACAAACCACGGCCCGGGCTGACCAGCGTGTCATATTATTTTATCATTATCGTTATTTATGTATTTCTTATTTTGGCATAGTTTGCGGCATAGATGAGGGATTGAAACCAGGGCTAAAACGACACGTAGTAAATACCGGTCATTCGTTTTTGATTCATATTATATTAAAATTTTATTATTCGTAAATTTGATGTATCAAAAACGATACTTCAAGCAAATGGGCAGCGGCACAGTAAATGACTGATTTCTTTTTTAGATTCTATTTTGTTATTTTTTATGCATTTCTTATTTTGGAAGGGGATTGACGTGGCACAGCTGAGGCTAATAACCCTCAACGAGGGATAATAACCCTCAGCGAGGATAATAACCCTTAACGAGGGATAATAACCCTCCGTGAGGATAATAACCCTCAACGAGGGATAATAACCCTCAGCGAGGTTGATAACCCTCAGATGGGGATAAAATCTGCAATGAGAGTTTAAAACCCCCAAGGAAAATTAAAATTATAAAAAGGGTAGGTTTCAGACTTGAATAGAATTAATAGAATTAATTATCGCTCGCAGATATTTGTATCATTAACTACAGATAAGCTCGGGTGTAATTCTTTGTATTAAAAGAGAAACAATAATAAAGAGAAACCTTTTTTAACCAAAAATCGTAAAAGTCAGTTTTATACTCAAATTAGACTATTTTACTTCTGATCATCAATTCGTAATAAATTACTTTGGCATTGATCACGTGATCTGGTGTATCGATCTTACAACTTTGAACATAAAATATTACAACCGAACCCAAAACTCTTGTTCACGATCGAGGCTAAACCGACATCTTTTACTGAAGGCTCTCCCACCGGTCGTAACACCGTATACTATGTATCGGTTTAGCCCTGATTGAAACCCAAACGAGGGATTAAAACCCCGTACAAATTAAAGATATATAAGGATGTGGTTTCAGGTTTCGATAGTATTTAGGATTATTGTGATAATTCAATATATTGATTTATGTTAATAATAAAGAGAAACCTTATAACCTGGGTTGGTTTATCGGATTCGGATTTTGATCTGATCCCAACCGTCGGATTAGTTTTGGTCAGAAAATTTCGAATTGGGCTGGATTGAGCGGGATCGGGCCTAATTTTAAAATTAGGGTACCTAAAAATTTTGGATCAACCGTCGGACTGGCCCCAGATTGTTCCCGGATCCAATCAGAATTTTGGATACGGAACGGTTACGGTTCAATCCCAGATCAACCGGGATTTTTAATCCGATTTGAAACACTAGATTTAAACCACTTAACGTTAACCTTAATCACTATTTGTTCATGATCGAAGCAGGAACCCGTAAAATTTTAGTTTTAAAAACTCGAAATTTTTTCTGATAACAATAAAAAATTTAGGCAAATTTTAGCTTAAATTTAGCAAATTTTAGATAAATTTTGATTTAAATTTAGTAAATTTTAGATAAATTTTGATTTAAATTTAATAAATTTTAGAT